CGTATCGGGTCAGGTGGGAAAGAACTTCTTGGTCTTTCCTGCCTCCATGTAAATCTTGCATAAATGAAGAATAGTCGAAGCGCTTCAGCTCAAAGTTGCGTCTCTTTGCGAGATATTTGGAGTCGGTCTCGGCGCGCTTCTTCTCCTTCAAAGTGTCTTGCCGCTGACCAAGATAGCGGCCGAGATATTGGTAGTAGTCTTTGCTCTCCTCCTCAAAATCCTTGCGCTTCGTCTCGGCCTGCTTGATATCAATGTTGTAAAGTTTGTAGATGGGATCAATAATGAGCTTCTGGATATTAGTCGCATTCGACTTTTCATACACCAAGATTTCCTTTGCAATCTTGTCAAAATAATGATCAATGGCAGGCTGGACAGCGTTGGCGTTGGACGACGACGCTTCTCGCAGTGCATCCATGAGATCAGACATGGCATTGTTGCACCCGACCTGGGCTTCCATGGCAGCCTCTGCGCGCTTCAGGACCTTTTTCCACCGCGTGCGCATGTTGCCAGTCTTTTGCTCGAGCGACTTCATCGTGGCACGGAATAGCGGCCCATCATCGGTTTGGCTGAGATCCTCGCCCGGGCGGGAGACGTCAAGTTTGACGGGCACATTTCCACTCGATGCTGTAGTCGCCTGGCTGGGTACCAAACCCAGACTGTGCTCTGGTATGGGCTCGCAAATGGGCGATCTCGGGGGAGGAGCTTCCCATTCTTTATCTTCGCCAGCCGAGTCGCTGACCCGAGACTCTATGGATTGGGAAGAAGGTACGCGAAGGCGGGGCGGAACACCAAGTTCCATGCGCGGGGTGGGCGACTTGGGGCTCTGGACCTGGCGTGACGTGTCTGTAGTCGTCAGCAGATGCTCGTATGCGCGAGGTCTGGGGGAAATTCCAGTACTTTGGACCCAAAAGGAAAAGTTTGCTAGTGTCTCGAGTCGGTGTGCTCGCTGATCGTATTCGACAAACTTGGAAAATGTCAGTTTTTGTAGGCATGAGGAGGAGCGGGTATATACAGACACTACAGCTGGTGCGCCAGCCCCCGCCGCGGGATTCTGAGGGCTTTGGAGGGGTCCACTTCCACGACCATTGGAACTGGACGGAGGCATGTCCGCCCGTTGAGTAGTCACCGACAAGCTCCACCTGGGGGTTCTTGTGGAGGTTTGGGTTTGCGTGGAACTCGCGCGTGACGAGGTTGTCAAGGTCCTTTGAGCTCGAGGCGAAGAGAAAGGTCAGGCCGTTGATGTTTGTGTCGACGAGGCCCGAGGGGGTGATTGCGGAATTAGTGTTGACATTGTATATGCTGGGCACGGCTAGGTGCTGGCGGAGGACAAAGGTGAAGTTGAAGGTGAGCTCTTCGTCGTTGGTCAGGCGAAGGAGCAAGGCTGGGGGGCTGTCGCTGGAGGGGACTGCCTCTGGGTCCTGTAGGGAGAGGGGAGTTTAGCAGAGAGATGGTGGTGGTCAGGCAGGGAGCGTACCTGGATGTACTCGATTACACTGTCGTCGCCAAAGTCGCGGCGCGCAGTGTAGCGCGTGGCGGGGAAGGCATTGGGGGCAACGTTCAGCAGCGTGCGGTTGCGGCCATTGGTGATGTTGAGCGAAGCGACCGAGACTGCGGGCGGTTAGCTGGAGCCTGGCTTAGGCGACAGGACGAGAAGAGAAGAGAAGAGAAGAGGAGAGGAGAGGAGAGAAGGGCATACATCTGGTCTGGTCGCGCAGATACAGGGCGCCTGCATCGCCGGCTTTGCTGTGGACAGCGCCCATGGCGGCGAGGAGGTTGTGGTGATGCGCGGGCGCATTCCTCTGGCGCCGGGAGGAATATGGGGTATAGCGCTATTGGGATGATTAGAGGGGCCGGCTCAGGGCTGCGACCGTGACTTGGAGTGCTGGCCAGGGCTGCGATGCTAGCAGAGGCACGGCAGGCGGGCGACACAGGTCTTGGTGTGACCACGATGGCTGACCCTCTGTCTTTGTCTCTGTCTCGAAAACTAACTCCAGGCCGGGCGGGGGAGGGCAAACGGTCATGCAGCCATGCAGGAACGCCCAGGTGGTGAAACAGTTTGGACACGGCCCTGGCCTCTTCTTGTCAGGATGCCATCCATGCCATGCGTCCGAGTGCCTGCGATCCACGCCCTGCATCTACCCACCAATCAGAACCCCCGTCTTTCCGCTGCCAGTCTGCCAGTCTGCCGTCATCGAGTCTTGGGCCTTACTAGACGCCTGCTATTGCGAAAAACATTATTTTATTGTTAGTGCAGTGTAGACTTCACCACCACGCCTCCACGTGCTCCCTGACCCGTCTTCTGGTCTCGACACCATGGCCATGCGCTTCCCCCCGCTGCGCCACGCCCTGCGCCAGCCCCTCGCCAGCCCCCGCGCCACACAGCGCCGCTGGGCACGTGTGCAGGATGTGCGCTTTCTGGTCACCCACGACACCCAGGAGCGGGTACTGGCAAAGTACCGCGACAAGCTCGAGTCAAAGGCCCGCGAAAAGGGCCTCCGCGACCTCAATGAGCTGAAGGAGCAGTACAAGGACCGGATAGAGGAATTGAGGAAGCAGGCCATTGTGCCTGGTGCGACGGGACCTCTGACCCCTCCACCAGAGCAGCAGCAGCAGCAGCAGCAGCAGCGACAAACACAAAATACCCCTCCACCATCAAGGCCAGACGGCCCACAGACATCGTCGCCTCCTCCTCCTCCTCCTCCTCCTCCACCACCCCGCGCTGGAGCTGGCTCCCCTACCGCCCCGCCTCCGGGCGTCCAGACGCTCAATTCCTTCCTCGCCGTCGACAAAATCAAAGAGAACACGCGAGAAGAGATAGAAGCCCTCTGGCGCATGCGCCATGCAAACAACCCACAGGGCATCCACTTTGCCGTCCCAGCAAGCACCTTCTCCAATCTCCTCAGCAGCGCAAAGCAGCATCCTTCCTTCGTCCTCCCCATCCCCCGCGAGATGCCCGCCGACCCTGACGCCGCTCCTGACGCCCAGGGCCAGATGCAGCAGGCCGTCGAGCTGCACTACCTGCAGTTTGCCCACCCCCACGACCACACAACAACCCTCATGTTCACCACGCTCGCCGAGTTCAAGCTGCGCGGCGAGTTCGCCAGCCCCCACACCACCGTCACCTTTCACCAGGAGCTCGCCGGCAGCCACAACCTCGTCCTCGGCCAGGGCCTGGTCGTCGAGAAGCGCGGCGTTAGTCTCGACGACGCCCGGTGGCTCATCATGTGCATGCAAAAGTTCTATGTCCAGACGGACGAGGGAAAAGGAAGGAGCGAGCTGCTCGACATGTTCACCAGAGGCGACAGTGCTTTCAAGGTCGAGCGTCTGATTGACGAGGCCGAAAAGGTATTGTAGTGTATTATATGTAAATGTACCGTGTATAACATCGTCATCGTCATCATCAAGCAACCCATTGTATTGTACATTTGGTCTATCATCCCCGCAGCGGCAATACGTGCTGCACCAAACACGCCTGTCTGCACAGCGGGCATTCTGGCTTTTCCCTCGCCCAGTCTCCAATACATGTCCAGCAAAAGACATGGCCACACGTAGTCACACTCGGGTCCTTCATCTCCTCCAAGCACAGTGTGCACTTCCTGTTACCTCCTCCAATCCACTCCATTGTCTCCTCATCCCCAAGTTCGTACCGCGGCTTATCTGTCGGCGGCGTATGCGTCCACTTTTGCACGTCCGACGCTGCAGCCGTGGGCACAGCCGGCGTAGCAGCATCGAATAAGAGCGCATTGTTGCCGCTGTACGCATTTGGATCCAGCGACACTTCTGCGCCTCCACCCACAATCGCCGATGTGCCATGCGGATGACCACTCCCACCCGCCGCTGCTGCTGCCGTGGACGACGCTGTAACCGTATTGTGCAAGTGCAGATAAGCCTGCACCGCCATCTGCAGCACCAGTAGTACACCAAGCACCTCGTACCCAGCGCGATTATCTCCCTCAGCCACCTGCCGTGTGAAAATATACCTGAGTCCCCATAACCGCTTCGAAAGATGGTAGTAGCTCCCCGAAAAATAAAACGTCGCAAGCGACACCGCATACACCGGCGACGGCGACGTAATCGTATCCAGATTCTGCAGTATATAACTCTGCACCCGCATCCCCAGCGGCCTCCTTACTTGCACCTTCTCGCCTTTCTCTTGCGCACCCATCTGTGCCCGCGCCTGCTGTCGCGCATACCATCTCAGATTCGCCTCGAGCTTCGCACGTATCCTGCGCCTAAACGCTGGCAACGCCCTCCCTAGCACATATGGCCCCAGTATACACGCGACAATGTATCCTGCTCGCCTTCCCAGCGCAGGTAAGCGGCCTGTTTCGCTTTCCACCTGCACAATGTCTGTATATTCTTCGCCCAGCGTGCGGTTGCCGATTAGCGTCGTGAGACCGAGGTAGAGTAGCTCGCCTATTACGCGTGTCTCGGAGAGGTACGTGTGCGCGGTACGCGCGCCGTAGAGTTTGCGGAGGAGGGAGGAGAGGTGCTCGAGGAGGACGCCGGAGAAGTAGGCGTCTTTTTGGTGCGAGCGGATTATGTCGGGCGAGGCGGCGAAGGGGTAGGCGAAGGGGGGTGAGGGCGCCATTGTTTATTGTTGTATACGATTGTGCGCGATGAGTGTATTAAAGGAACGACGATGGGCGCGTCGTTTGTCGTTGTAGTGTAGGGCAGAGGGTGCGTTTACATGGTGTGTTATTGATGCATGGGGGCTCCGGGGCACGAGTGACATGCTACCTCGGCCTGTGCCTGACGGGTAAAGCTCGGGCCTCGCGTTTACCGTCATCTTGGCCTGTGATACAACGCCATCGCCTCAACTGTACACATGTAGTCAGTACGTCAACTCGTGATATGCTCTTAGAAATAGCAAAGCAAGAATGAAGAATCTATCACATGTCCGCATTGAAGTATTCTTAGCTATCCAATTTTCACTTCACCCTACATATTTAGACCCATATACCCTGCTACCCAAGATACCTTTCATAAATCCAACCCATTTATTTAAAAAACATCCCTTTCTTAGCGACAGGCTTCTTCTCCTCCCTCCTCCGTATTCTTGCATGATACTCAGCAACAATCTCCCTCGCACCATGCAAATCCTCTTCTGACAACCAGTCACGACTATCCTCATACCCCTCCCACTTGACCAGGTAATACGTCTTATTCCCGTCTTGATAATGTTCTTCAATAGTCTCGACCACGTATTCGTCTACAGCTTCATCGTCGCCATCTGCCTTGCCGTTTTCGTCTTCCATGATAGAATCCGTAGTTATGTGTATAGTGTCGCTGCTGAATCCGCCTTTGTGTAAAGATGGAGATGGATGTTTAGCATTAGCGGAGGCCGACGGTGCATATGCGGGAATCGAGTCGTCAGAGTCGGATCCAAACATGGGTGATCCCAGTGCGGGTAGATTGGTGGGTGGTATTGGCGCAATATCCTCGATAACAATGGGACTCGAGTTTGCGTCTACGACAGAGGAGCGGTCCGAGAAGAGGGCTGCTGAGAATGCTTCCATCGGTATTTGCGGAGGTGACGGTGCTGATGTATCCTGGTCTGAGTCCGGGTTTCCGATTCTCAGTCTTTTGATACGATGCCAGTTTTCGTCTAGTCCGCGGTCCTGTTGCGCAATGGGTGTAGGTACATCTTCTGCTTCATCCTCTTGGGTGTGGTAGGTGATTGGAATAGAAAGTCTTCTTGTAACAGGTGGCAGTGGCAGAGCGCTATTGGCAAAAAATGCCGAGCGCATCAGACCTGGCGATGATTGGGTTTGTGCCTCCGAATCTTGGTCCTCTTCATCATCGGTTTCTGGAATTACTGGAGATATATTCTGGGTTACTTGGTCCAGAAAGACAGTAGAATGGCCAGATTGCTCGCCCAAATCATCGTGACGCATAGCCAGGCCTCGACCTCTGCCTTGACCTCTGCCACGTCTCCCTGGAGGCCTGACTCTTGTCCGCGTCGGTACATCTGAAGGTAACCCTAGTCCACTGAGCATCCGGCTTCCTGTTCCAGTAGTCTTGGCCCCTCTTGCATTCTTTTCTACCTGCCGGCGCGCCAGCTCGTCAATTTCTGCTTGTACCGCAATAGCCTCTGCCTCTGCCTCGAGTCTAAACTGCTCATTTTCAAATCGTTCCAGTTCGGCGGAAGAGACATAGTGCAATATGCAACTGAGGTCTACCTCTTCTGTGACTCTCTGTTCCTCACTGTCGCCGGTACGTGTGATTTGAACAACGTAGTAATTTCTTACTACCGCGCCCTCAGTCTGTCGGCGATCAAGAATTCGCGTTTGTGCGTGTGGTATCGGGCAGTCGTCGGATGGTTGTGAGGTAACTACGGCAGGTTCTTTACGGATACGCCATAGCTGCTCATAAATCTCTGGACCCGGTTTGTATGATTCCCATTCCCACTATAAAAACAATAAGCGGCTTTCTAGGCGTCTGCGCTAACATCACGTACCAGCTCCGACTTTCTTCTACCGCGTCCTCTGCCACGTCCGCGTCCGCGACCGCCCCGAGAGACTCTCAGCGCCATTGCGACTGTCGAGTGGAATGCGACAGCTTGTGTAGCGACGTGTCATTGTGTAAGAGACATGAAGGGTAAAGGTAAAGGTACGTCTATCGTATTTGAATGCTGAGGTAACCTCTTAATTATGCAAGAAGCCTTATTGACGTATCTGGTTTAGCGCCTGTTTAGTACTAGATTGATGCAACCATCCAATCAACATGAGTATTATACTACGATCCCGTTGTGACAGGCAAATCGAAATGAAGAAGGAAAATGGAGGGTGCGACAAGGCCACGTAATGCTAAAAGTAAATATAACCGTCAGCTGCTTTGACTACACTTTTGCCCTCCAGTCCCAGCCCACAAGAGATATCCTCGTAGCCACAAGCAAACTCCCCCCAACGAAGAACGACATGGCCGCCCAAACGTTTGCATATGTATAGTCGCCGTTGTTCATCTGAATGAGCGCACCGGCTAGCGGCGGACCTGTCAGACTCGACATACTCACAATGGTAAAAGCCATGCCCATTCGCACACCCGTTTTCTTCAGATCCATCTCGCGGCTCAGATTTCCAATGACAGCAGGCCATAATGCTTGAATGACGGCACTTCCGCTGCCATATATAGCTGCAAAGACATACAATGTGCCAATAGACTTAATTCCGATCCATGCCAGCATCATGATGCCGCAGATAAAGGCAAAGGGAATCAGCACATTCAGTCCCCCAATCTTATCGGCATAGTACGTGGGCAGTATCCGAAAGAGAAATCCCATGGCAACCTGCACAAGGAGCAAGTTGATACTTTGTTGATAGCTGACCCCCAGGACGTTGCGCGCATAGCTCCCGATGTAGAAGAAGGAAAAGTACAAGCCCCAGAAACTGAAGAAAGCAGCAGCGCAGTACAGAGTATAGGGCAGCTCTTTGAAACTCGCCCAGTCAACCAGTGGACCACTTTTCCTCGGCGGAAGCCGCGTACGATACAGAGCAATCGCCGTAATGTTCACAACGAGCATGATGAAGCCGATGATGCGGATGGTCCACGCGAAGCCCATGCTAGGCAGGCATTGCTGCACAATGATTGGGAAAATTACACCACCAGTGCAAGAGCCCAGTGCTGTGAACCCCAGTGCAAAGGCGCGGCGTTTAACAAAGTACGTGGATACCAGAGCCATGGAAGGACAGAATTGCAAGCCGTTTGCGATACCTAGGCAGACACCTTGGGAGAGGAAGATCTGCCATGCGCTCTTACATTGCGCCAGAGTGAATATACCGACCAACTGGAAACAACTTCCGGCGATGTAGACGGGGCGAAAGAGACCAGCATCAGTGGCGCGACCAGTAAAAGTGCCAAGGAAGAAGAGGAGAAAGACTTGTAGGGAACCAATCCATGATATTGTTGACGGCTCGATGCCAAGCGTCTTTTCGTAGTAGGTCTGGTATACGCCGAACGAAGTGAAGAAACCAAACGTCGTTAAGATAGTCAGGTGAGTGCAAAACACTTGGATCCAGGCTCTAACACCGCCATCAGGAGCTGGACCGGGGTCAAAAGATGCTGCAGATCGGCGTGACAGCACTCGTGCAAGAGCAGGTTGGTTAGGCTTCTCAGATGGTCGATATGCACTTGGAGGCTCGGCTTCTTCTTGAGGCAAAGCTTTTTCGATACCGGCATTGAAGTTGGTAGGGTCCGCTGCCTCATTGCCCATTTCTGCGTCGATGTGTCGAGTCGTCATGATTCTTGACCATTGGAGTTGGCGTTCCAGGCCGAAGATTGAAGATGAGGGCGTAACTTTACGTTTAGAAAACTCATATCAATGGCGAATTCCGGGAATAATGTTACTTAATAAACAAATGGATTACGACCGCTGCTTGTATTCAACCAAACGCCGGCCCGACGTGCATGTGGGGCAATAACCTCGTGTTGCTCAAAGAGGGTGGGGTCGGCGGTTTTTCCGACAATCAAAAGCGACGCGCGCATGACTTAATCATGTTCAATAGACTTATTACTAACGTACCTATATCTGTTTGTGCACTGCTTACACTGCGTGACTTCTCTGCTGTGTATATGTACTTTACATTGAATTTTAGCATTACACGGCATCTTCTCTTACCGTATCGTACACCGCTTATGAGCACCTTTACGGTCCTTTACGAGTCAGTGATCTCAAGGGTTCGCATCAATTCCGCTCTTGAACTCCCTCCACCTGGAGCTCCGGGGACTTAATAGCGCCCTTCTCACAGACCCAAAGATAATGAGTCTGAGAAGTACACGATGCTACCGCTGTTGTAGAGCTTTCACTAAACTCATAACCAGTGAAGACTACATCGACTTTAGCTGACGAAGGTCGATTTGTATGCCAATCGCGATAACAGAATGAATTATCAAGATATCCAAGATGCGCTAGAATTTGCCATGGCCATTTTACTTACTATTTATCCTTGACAGTGACAGCGTGACCTTGATTAGCGCATCGAGTTTCTGCAGGCATTCACATCGAAAAAAGCTATCTAGCTGTCACTCATTCGATCAGCCTTTCTGATACTGCTTGGAGGCAGTGCTTTGCCATCTCGAGATCGCATAACAGATCTGATATCTGTGCCTTCCAATCGGTTCCTTATCGCAATGTGCTACCCCTCTTGAATCCTCCACCGGTGAGAGATGACGTCGCACCCGCATATCCCACCTCCATCATTTACATAGAATATCAATAAGAAACCGGTACTGAGAAGCTGTGTTTCTCGCATATAACTGCACTGCCGTTTTAGAATAATTTAGCTTTTAGCACTCAATCTTCACTTATAGTGATCAGGTATCTTCCATAACACATCCTTCGTAATGGGTAACAACACGTCATCAGTTGGCTCGGATACGGCGTCACAAACAGATACTGGAAACCGTAATAACACAAATTGCACAGAGTGCAAGGACTGTATGTGAAGCAACTGATTGTCATACTAGCAGACTGAGAGCTGATCCCGCGTCATGTATACTAGGTCAGAACTGTACAGATTGCAGAAGTAAGTCATTTCCTGACTATCATACTTGCGTTATGTCACACATGTTCACGGATAATGTATTTCATCTACCTTATCGTATCCAATTCCCATCTTGTTTTGGATCGTTTCAAGCATGTTGCTTGCGTGCCCAAACGAGTCTTTTGACAGCAAAACAGATTGCACCTCGTCTCGCAACTGCACGGACTGTGAAGATTGTACAGATTGTCGGAATTGTACAAGTTGTACCGACTGTACAGGGTGAGTTTAGACTAGACCACAAGACGAGAACTAGCGCATCTCAGTGGTTTGAAACAGGAGGCTGACGGGTTTAGCTGCTCCAACTGTACTGATTGTAGCGGATTGAAGGATGCGCGCAACCAAACGGGCGTGCATGAATAACGAAAGCTGTATCAGTCTTGAAAACGAAGAAATGAGTTGCTCTGATCAGAATTGTTGTGATGTAACAAACCCAGCATGTCGCATGTTAAAGGATAGAAATAGTGACGAAGAAGGTGATAGACGGCAAAGAATGAATGCTTGACCTGCAAAATCTGTTAACTCACTTCAGGCAGCTTGCCAAATCTACTAATCTGTGATTTTCTCAAAACCAACAGCCAATTTTCTCATCTCTACCTTTCGCACAATGACTGTACAAAACCAATTCACTACTATGTATAGACCACCAAAACTCTCAAATCCCATACCGATGCCTTTTTCATCAGACATTGTAAATCAATCCCCGTATGTCTCAATTCACAATGTCCACTCTCTCCATACACATCGCCACATCAATCATCGTTTATTTTCCTATATAAGCCCTGCCTTGCAGTCCTGAAAATTCACTCCACATCTCAAACAAGCAATCACACTCATCTTACCACCTCACCATGCAAGCCATCAAAAAAATGTTGCCAAAGAGCAACCGGGCTCAACCTACCCCGCCGCCCAAGAAACACATCTGTCAAGTCCCCAAACCCCTCCGCGTCGGCTTCCTCCTCGAGAGTTTCGACAACCCCGATCTCCCTCTTATTATCCTCCGCCCACCCACTCCCATGTGGGAAATGTACAATGTCGAAGAACGCCTGTTCGAGCGCTCAGGCGACAAGTTCATGTTGAAGAGGAGCAAAATGCGCGCGAATCTTAGGCAAGAGGGGAAGAAGATGCTGCCGGTGCCGGTGCCGAAGCTTGAGGACTTGCTGATGTGCGGGGGTGAGAACGGAAATGAGGAAGTGGAAGCAGATAGTGAAGGGTTGGGTGCGGAGTGGGAGGTTGATTATCGGGCGTACATGGCAGGGATGGATCTGGTCGGGTAGAAGGCAATGTTGAGGTGAGTTGTTTTACTTTGATTTCCTTTCTGGTAGTATCTCCTTGGGAATGAATAGATTTTGGGAATGTTCCTTTCTTCTGGTTGGAAATTTAAGCGATCATGTTGTGCTGATTAATTTTTGTGCTTCGCCCGCTCAGACGCTACTGGGTGTGAATGTGCTGGTTGTGTGGATGCTGTGGAAGCGCGTTGTGCATTTATTTTACACCTCTTAGCCTTCCGTATACTGTTTGACAACTTTAAGCGTTTGGATATCGTACATGTGGTTGCTCATCATGTTGAAGTAGCGATGAAAAGAGTTCAGTTCATTTTTGCGCTTGTCCAGCCTTGCGTCGCCTCAATGTAGCAGTGCCTTCGGCCTTGAGTGCATATCAGCAGCGGGAGAAATTTGTGACCTATCTATTGTTTCGATAATCTGAGATGCTCTGATCATCTGACATCCTATCGAAATCATCTGGTTTGTAACTGTTTTCGTCCATTCTGACTTGAATCATGGCGTCACCTTCTCCAAGCCTTCCCTCACCATCAGATACGGCCTTGCTCATAAGTTTGCGATCCCTTGTACCCAAATTAACTGGATTCAACAACAATCTACTGATCGGGATTAAAATCACAAAGAAAAGACGTACACAGGCCTCAGACGACATTCCGTCGAAGCTGCCAGCCGATCCAATAAAGTCGCTACAACCATCCAGCGACCACATATTCACTTACTTCCAATAAAGAGCTAAAAGAAAAGATGGCGCCACCTGCGTGCTCCTTCTTTGGGGTTCTGAAGACCCAGAAAGATTCACAAACTGGGATGTGGTGGATGTTCCAACCACCAACATTGAAAGTGAAGATGAGACTTTCGCTAAATTGGCTAAACGATGTGCCAAGACACGTGGATTTTTGTGGAGATGGTTCTCCTGGCCAAAGTTCAATGGACTTATCTCTTCAAAGAGCAGTGGATTGCGAGAAGCTTGTGTCTAGGGACCTGCCCGCAAAACCCCTGAGATCTAGAGTGCAGTCACATCTTGTGACGCCTGCACTAGCCCGAGTCATTCGGAACAAACTCAATACCTCTCATCTCGAACATGCGATGGAAAATTGAAAGCAGCAGCATGGGACCTCGTCTCTTCAACAAAACTATACATCTAGAGTACCCAATTAGTTGATATTATCCATAGAGAGCTCAGTTTTACAGGAAATTGATGCGAGGTAGATAATCTGTGGACAAGTTTGACAGAAGTGCGTAACTAGCAAAAAGCAACTCTAAGCGAATTCCATGCCGCGCACTAACGACCATCGGCCGCTCCGTCCGCTTGCGAGCCAGACTAATAGCAGTTATTGTAAACGCCCAACGCATTGATGTTCAGGGCCTCATGTTATGTTATTTTGATTGCATAGTATCTTTGTTAACACTTATAATGAGCTATTGCGCCCATTCTTTCCTCTTCTTTATGCTCGTGCTCTCGAGTATCTTTATAGTCTTTACATTCAGTCTATGGTTCTAATTTATATAAGCCAGTAATTCTCATATTCAAAATGCTCTTGTCACTCTTTTGGTTAGTTGCAATCTGCGCTACTTTTCGTCTCTCTTTTGGTGCCCCTGCGCCTATCGTCACTTCTCGAACCTCAACTTCTTGTACCAAGTCTCTACAATCTACCTCCTCCTCACCAACAAGCTCGGGCTACTCTTATAGCAATGTGCCTAGTAGTACGCCCTCTATATCACCAACCCCTTACTCATCCTTATATGTCTACCCAATTTCCACCGGCACATCCACGTTTCTTCAGCTGTATACACCAATGAACAGTGCGACTCCAGTTGACAGTACGACACCAATTGAGACACCTACGCCAATTGACTCGCCAACACCAATGGACAGTCCGGCACCAATTGAGACTCCCACTCCTATCGAGACACCCACTCCTCCGCCCGTTCTCTGCAATGTCGTTAATCCTAGAATACTCACCGTGACAACCCCACGCAATATTCGCATGGGGAGCGGCGCTCCATATGATCCCAAGCTCTGTCAATCCTTCTGTCGCAGCCTGGGTACCTGCGCCAGCTATGGAGTCGCCGGGTCATTGTGCGAGTTACACGCTCTCCCTGTTGCGCAGATTGTATGGACTGGCAATTCTGATGAGCCGAGAACAAATGCTGTGTATATATTCTACGATATAATGTGTGCATAAGGGCTAGATTAATCCTATTCGCATTTGCACGACAGCACCGCGAGGACCTAGTGCCACCTCACGCGTCGCTTTTGTACAAGACTGCTGTCCATTCCGTTCAAATATCATGATAAAATGTTGTGTCCTTCGGATCTCCCATCGTCATTATTGCATAGCTTCTTCAGACGTAACGCCTAGTATAGAACCTTATTCATTTCCGTAACTACCGTACTCTAGAGATTTAGATCTAGTTTGCATATTCACATAGTAACTAACTATATCACTTTATATCTTCTAAGCGTGTTATCTAAGTGCTCTTTAGATAAGCAATAGTCCTAGCGCTAAGGGTAGCGTTAAGTTTCTATATTCTTTACTATGATTTCTTTAAGAAGTTTACTAAGATATGTTGTCTCTTAGAACATTAATTAATATTAATTATAGACACTTCCTTAACTATAACATGGAGTAGAGTATTCTAGTTAATGCAGACATTATATTATACAAATCTTGGATGAGAAGAGATTTCAAATACACCAACTAGATAAGATGAGCTCTCGTTCTAGTCACTGAAGCTAGGGCCTATAGATTTCCGAAAGGAAGAAGGGATGGTGTAAGTACTTGAGTTAAGTATAGCGATCTACACCTCCAATTTTGAGTTATTATTTCCAAGATGACGATTATGATTGTCGTTTTCCTCGGCGCCGTTATCGTTGTGATTGTCATAATAGGATATTTCGGTGTTGAAATAACAATACTGCACTGCGAATGGCAAAAGAGTCAATGGCTTGAAAATCCACTTTACTTCGCTATAACTAGGATTCACTAATAGCAGTGAGACAAGGACTCAGCTTTGTTGAAAAGCTTAAAGGAAACAGAAAAGCCGCATGTATCTCCTCCGCTATTGCAACCCTCCCATCAAGTTCAATGCCTGAGGCGTCTATGTCGAGTTTATGAGCAGATGACGTTCCAGGACTGGAACGGTACATCAGCTGAGCATGCTGCACCGACACTACCGACCGCCCCTCCGACCTAAATATCACAAGGGCCTGGTTAGTATTGTAGTTTCGCTGGATTTCTTATAACCTTGGGACAAAAGTCCTTAATAGTAGAGAGAAGGTAATTACATACTTGAGCGCCGCAATTTCGGTCTGAATAAATATAACCAACACAACCGCGACCATTGGTGAAAGTCAGAGATATAGGCTTTTTCTGATCGGCTGGGATATTGGTCAACTGGCAAGGAGAGCTGCCAGTTCCATCTACTCGATAGGAGGCGCCTCCGCATTGGGATTTCCAGTTTACCCATACAGTCCATGCAGAGGCATGCGGGAGGACAGCAGTTGCGAGAACGAAGGTGGCGGCGGTGAAACGCATATTGGAAAGATCAAGAGATTGAGCAAGGATGCTTCACAGGTGTAAGATATCTGGTGATAGTAGTAGAGAAGGTTGTAGTTTGAAGTGGCAGTGATGAAAATACTCAGAGAAACGGATACCTCTATATACTTGTTTCTTCATTGATTTCCTTCATCTTGGATCGTAAGACGGAAATAGATCATCTGCCTTGATTAACCATGGAAAAAGAGTGTCGTGTTCCTACTGCATGGTGGAAGACCAAAGCGAAAGTGCCCATTCTCCTCATCTGGCATCATACGCGCCAATTCTCACCGATATGCGCCACCTCCACAGTAAGCAGCTGAATTATATACACTATGTATGCCACCCTTGCTTGTCTAGCTAGTTAGGGTCATTTTGCTCCATAAACCTCCAGAGTAAGGAGAAATGATCCAACTATGCCCAATGTCTACAACTCTCAAGACTACTATCTCTATTATACAGCCCTAAAAGTATAGTAAGTATAGTTCTCCTCAAGCTAGGGACGCATTGTATTTGGCATAGAGAATATCTTAAAAGTTTGCCGTTATTGGTTGGGCAAGACACAATTGCAGACATGGCGTAGTGGTATTCTATTCTTAAACTGCTGAAAAGAGTAAATGTTAAAGGCTTGGATGTAGTGACACGAGGCAGCTTGATAGTTCTGGGCGGTCTTGGAAGGAATGTAGATTAATGAAAATGTCTTACTTTTGCGGATCTGTCAAGGTTCAAATCGCGGGGTTCGGAGAAATGCTATTGTGACTAAGCAGTGTTGCCTAGGGGAACAGGGCTTCTGGCGATAGTATCGGCTGTCATAACCGAGCCAAGGCGGCCACTTCACCCATGCCAAGCCAGCCACCTCAGCCCTACCCGCTTACTGATAGTAAGCAGTGTGCATCCGGGCTACAAAGTTTGGGAACATGTTATGATTACTAAGTAGTATTGCTCAAGGGTTATGGGACTCCAATGACAGCGTATAGGCTCGCAATTGGGTAGCAGCTGGGTAGGGGTACTGTTTTGCTGCGCGCACGAGGCTCTTCACCTCATCAACTGTGTCGACATGCGGAGCGACGACAGCCGCTGCACCCGCATCCAGTATTCGAATGGTGTGTTTAGGTCACTCGAAGGGTGCACGTACAATCGGTGAGACTCCGACGTAAGTGCATACAAGTATGAGCTGCGCGACGGTGTGTACGTAGGTCCTCAATGGAGTGTTTCACATTGATGTACATGCCGTCTGTTTTGGCCATTCTGCATAGCATTGCGATCTTGTTGTCCTTTACTAGCTTCATGGACATTGCAGCGCACACATCGCCTTTGATAATCTGAGTGCGAAACAGATTCGACAAGGCAAGGGTGTCGTCTTATGCGATCATGGCTGTTGTGTGTGGAAGTGAACAACGAAAGCTGGAGGGTGTGAATGGACACTTGGCAGACAATACGATGGATTTGGTCACGAACTGGAGGAGCATCTGATTTCATGGTAGTTAGCTATCAAGTCAATTCACTTCCGATTTCACTTTCGTAGGGTGACTATCAGAGAGCTTCCGAGGCGCGTAAGTACGGGGAGCATTCTGATTCGTTCGTCAGACGTCCGCCGAGACGATGACCGCTGGAATCAGTGTTCCGGCCGTGTAACCTTTTGCGAGCAGTCTAAATACTGCCCTCTCTGTTGTCGTTCTGTCGCATGCGGCGAAATTGGATTGCACTCAGATACATTTTATTGGGATGTGAGTTTTGGCTGGAGCTTGCACTTGTACATCCATGAAATTTGGAAATTTACCATTCAGCGTTGTGAAGTTCTGTCTACGCATATCATGTGAATCTGGGGGGCTCTCTTTTTGCATCACTAGAAAAATGCAAGAGCATTGGGAGGGCTTGCAACTCCGCCTGGTACCTATGTTGAAAATGAGTCAACCCAAATATAGATCAACCAGAGATACCAGACGACTTACATTCAAAGGCTCACTCGAAATGAAGAATGTATATTTCCCCAACTCGTTACAGATAGTACCCAAGTGCTCCAAGTCAAACAGTTCTCCAATAGGCATTCCCCGGCCTGCTAGCAACCACTCATACAGATTTCATTGCAGCGCCGTGCAGGGCCATTTTTCAAAAGATCTCGTGTCACCTGCCACGGCGGCAAACCTGGTATTCCCAAGGAATTCTAGGAGCTCTTTCGAAGTTTCCAAACCGATGTTTTCGGGCTTTTCTCTCTGATACACATGAAGCTTCTTTCTCCGCTCGGGTGACATGACTTCATGTTGATGTATGTATCCGCTGCGTACAAACAATATGTCAGCCTCTCGGAAGTCGAATATACTCAGTCCCTGAGCTTTGGCAGCCTACATAAGTGAATCAAAAGTGATGCCATATGCTGAAAAAGTGTCAATATCTGTGTTGCCTTACTCTTCCATCCATCTATACCAATCAATCAACACGCCTCTTCCTGCAACTCCTTTTTTGCCATATCTGAGTTAAATTAGCCATGTAGTTTAATACAATTAAAGGGGTTTGAGTATACTTTGCAAACTGTTAATATCGGAGTTCTTAAACTTTTCCGCAGTATGGCCCATGAAGTAAACCTGTAGAATATTATAAGTAGCTAGGCCTATGATGGAGAGCCTTCTCCCACCTTCTCGTTCTGATAACCGTAATGTCTGGTTCCATCCCATTGCGAGCTAATCTGTGTATTGAAGTGCAACTGTAGGGTAGATGTAAGATCATGTGTGACGTTTCGAACCTTTGAAACTGTGTGTTGCTAACCTCTTCGTCATGCGCGGTTTTCATTGGTGCTTTGTTAATCAGCTTCACCTCCGTGAACTTCCTTGGAAACCGAGGCTTCGATGGTCCCATCATAGACCAACTGTCATTGTCAGACTCCCCGAATCTTTTGACACTCATTGTCCATGCTATTGACTTTAGAGAGACACGCGTCCCGGTGCGGATTTCCTCATTTGCTGCAACTTTAACGACCTCATCGGTAAGATAATTGAGTGTTCCAAGCTGGTCATCCGCTCCCCACAAACCTCAAGCATTGCCGTGAGGACCATTTTTGTCCACAAGGAGATCGGTAAAATCAATGAAGCGAGTCGCCGCCATCTGATTCATCGCTGATGGATGCCGTAGACTGTTTAGCTGCTGTCCAGTATTGATGTAATCTCAGTCTCAATTGTAGCTTGAACGCTTCCCAATACGTGATGGGTACTACAACTCAAATTGGCTTGATGGAGACACGCAATATTGCCAGTGCAGGGTTCGGTAGTGGTGCGATTGACCCAAACTTGGAGACATCATGCCTCCCCGCACTTGGGCTAGGAACCTGCTAACTGCATACGGCCCTTGTCGCCGGGCTCATTCATGTACACAAAAATGGTGGTTGGAACTGACATCCCAGAGCTGAACAGCGCGAGGCAACTTTATCTCTTTCGTTTCTATGACATACCTGGGGATACTTCTTAAACTTTGCTTCCAAGATTCAAACAATGTCTATGGAAAACATGCAAGTAAAGGCTGACAATATGCCTGATGAAACAAACCCGGAGTATGCTGGCTTGTCCCTAGAAGGGATCGATATCACGCAATCTTTTGAAAGCGAGCGAGGCAGAAAGGTTGTGCATAAGGTGTGTAAAATTGACTTGTGTCCCTCAGCTTCACCCCTCAATCAGTTTGTTGAACTCAGTAGATCGATCGACGACTGATCATAATTATTGCGGTTCTTTACTTGCTGGCACATATCGATCGCGCAAACATCGGAAATACAGCTATTGAAGGGATGCGGGAGGAGCTTGAACTGCAAGGCAATCAATACAATATTGCGTCGACGATATTTTTTGTACCTTATATCGTTTTCGGTACGTTCACCGGGAATCATCACCATATCACCCAAGTAGTTCGTTGAAAAGAACCAGAAATTCCCTCTAATATGGTGTTGAAACATGTGCGACCAGATATCTAGTTGTTCTTCCCCATAATCAGTTGGGGAACCATTATGACCTGCATGGGCGCAGTGCAGAATTGCTCAGGTCTTCTTGCCTGCCGAGTCATGTTAGGATTAGCAGAAGTATTGACTGCTCTTTTCTGGGTTTACTCTCTACTTCAAATCTCTGATTGCTAAAAGAGTGCAGGCTGGATTTTTTCCCTAGCGCCGTTTTCATAGTCAGCAGTTGGTACATACGCACGGAGCTGCAACAGCGTCTCGCCTTATTCTGTACCGCATCGGCTTTTTCCGGTTCTTTCAGTGGCCTCCTCGCCTATGCTATCGCCAAACTTGATGGTGTAGGCGGTCTTGCCGCCTGTCGCTATATATTTTTTACTTGAAGGCGCCGTTACGGTAGCTGTAGCCATTGTGATGCCATTCATCATCATTCAATCCCCGGAACGAGTAAGTTGGTTGACTACGGAAGAGAAAAGATTTATCGATATCCGCCTGCGTCTTGCAGCTGTTCGAAGTGCTACAGAAGAAGGAGACAAATTTTCATGAAAGCTGCTGTTTCATGCCATGTTTGATTGGAAGGTCAACTTGGGCATCATAATGGTCTGGGTAAATGCAGCGCCATCATCAGCATTCAAGTTCACATTGCCCAAGATACTTACCGAGTTTGGATATACATCATCGAAAGCTCAGCTTACGTCCATACCTCCCTATGTTGCCGGTGGCATCTCTTCATGGCTCGTTGGTCGCACTGCTGATCGCTTCGCCTGGAGATTCCCATTCATTGTTGGCCTAATGTGCCTGCTGTTGGCTGGATTAGCCATCTTGTACAGTTTGTCCAAGAACCTCGCCGTTCATGTCTCCGTCATGTACTTTGCGATTATCCTGGCACAGATTGGCATATATCCTCTATTACCTGGTGTTTCGGCTTGGACTGGCAATAACCTGGCTCCATTTTGGAAGCGTTCTATCGGGCTTGCGTGGATGCTTGCGGCCGGAAATTTTGGAAGTCATTATCCTTGAACATTGCCGCTGCATTTCGCTAGGGAAGAACTCGAACACGCTGACAATTTTATAGGTCTGATCAGAACTAACATCTTCTTACCTAAAGAAGCCCCGAAGTATACCACAGGCTACGCTACTTCAATTTCTATAGTTATATTAGCGATGACAGCCACGATACTGCAGGAAATACTCCTGTGGCAAGAAAACATATCCCGAGCCAAAGTGTCAGAAAACGATATCAGGTCACAATACACTCAGGTTGAACTCGATGCTCAGGGTGATGGAAGCCAACTATATCGGTATACCCTTCGAAACGGTATTCGTGTCTTTACACATGGCGAAATTACATTAGAGCATAGTTTTCCTGGTTCCATCAAGGATTATGTTGCGGGATGATTGTTTGAATACATAGCTTCTATCATGGATAACTACGGGAGTTAATGATTCTATTCTCTAAGCAACTTGTGACATCATTTTTCTTCTATACTAACTGGTTAGGATGTTAACATAATGACCATCTATGAACAGTGTCGACAGTACCAAATTCAAACATCTGACAGGCTGAATGCTACGTGAATCTATTCACAGGATGTATCATGCACTCAAGCAATAAGTTGGTTTCTTTTCTACGCTAAGCGACTTGGAGCGGCTATCGAGAATCAAGGGGCGCGCCAGAGTCCTCTACGCTGTTCCACCTGCATTTCCCCCATTTTCATCGTGCGTGTGGATAAGCGGGGGTCAATTGTCAAGACATAGCTCTCTCAGCGCCAGTTCTCACTTGAAATAAGGATTAGAGGGTCAATTTTCTTTAACATGGATTCGTACATCTATGAAAATTCTTACATATATCAATTATAGAGAGGTATATCGTGAGCCTAACAATTACACGCTATCTATGTGATATAACGGAACCCGTTCAAAATAGCACGTTGTGAGTCATCGCCCAATCGTGCTACAGCATCTGCATCATTGCAATCAGTGGTCCGGGATAACCTCTCGAATTCTTTGTTACCATGCCGCAAAAGGAAGCACAGGGCTAGGATGGACGAGAATGCCAGTGCCTGGAACGCCAATGTGCAACCCCACGACACGGTAAATTCGGGTTGATATCGATCAAGCCAAAAGTAGTTTGCGAACAGAGACGCCGTATTTGCGCACGTGTTAGCAATACCGATCGCCGCAGCTCGCTTGATTGGTGGTCTAGGTATAGTCGAAGATAGCCAGGTATAGGTCGTGGAGTAGACACCAAAGGTGCCAGCACAAACAAGGAAAGTGAATGCATACCTGGCCCAGTGGTTGTGGAGGATGGTCATCATGAGTATCGATCCCAGCATGGCTACAACAACCGATATTCCAGCGCCGATAGATCGATTCTGTTTTTTGTCGGCGATGACGGCGAAACTGAGGGCCCAGATGAATGCAAACATATAGGGGGGTGACGTGAGCAATAGTACCGTAGTGTTGTTCTTGAAACCAATCTGTTTGATAAGTGTCGGGAAGAAGTGAGAATAGGATATTGATGCTGTAGTTGCCATCTGTAGGCACGCGAACAGCCATACCCGTATATCCTTCGATGCGAGGACGATTCCGCTCCATATCTTGACATCTTCTTCTCCTAGCGTATCGTCGCTGCCGGCATCTGCAGCCAGTCGTCCCTGTGCGACGACTTTCTCATCTTCCGAGAGCCACTTTGTGGTGGCGGGGTAGTCTGGGAGAAAAATCATGGCACATAATCCCTGTAAATGAGATGACGATTAGACTATGATGCCGATTTCGCAATCAAGAAAAGTAGTGCTTACTATGACAATTGTAGCCAGGCCCTCCAATATAAACAGCCACCTCCATGCAGCCTATGGATGTTTAGCATTGATGGTAGTTATAGTAGTATGGGTCTTTCTTACTAGTTTCCCAACATCCTTCATGCCAGACAAAATGCCAGCGGAAATGAGACCCGCAAAACTGTTGGACAGCAACAGTCCACATATTAGCAGAGCCATTCTAACGCCTAGTTCGCGCTTGGTATACCAGCAGCTGAGCAAGTATACGGCACCCGGGAAAAACGGTGCTTCTACAACACCGAGGAGAAAGCGGACAGCAAGAAGGCTACCTGCTGAGCTTGTTGCACCGGTACAGCCGCTGACAATAGCCCAAGTGATAATACAACTAGGCTAGCAAAGAATTAGCTGTAACTGCCAGGATGAAAGACTACGAGTCTGAGTAAGGAATCGAGAACGTACAAGATATAGAGAGGGGCGTAGCTTGGTCATAAGTATAGTTGCAGGCAACTGCATTGCGATATATCCGGCGGAGAAGGTGGATATGGCTGTTTGGTAGAGAGCCCCGGTAACATGGGTATCCTCCTGGAGCCCATAAAGGCGGGCTTGGGTAATGGAGTTACGATCGAGATAGTTGAATAGATAGATGATGACGACAAGAGGGAGAAGCCGTCTGTCGATCTTTCGGACGAGTTGCTTTTCTGTCTCTTTGGAAAACTCTGGAGCGTACGATCTGTATCTTTCGATGACAGTATTAGCTTTGCCATAGCATTCTACATGCTTGGTACACGACAGCTTGTCGATGTCTCCAACGACTTTGTTTATGTCAGTCACCGGTGCAGCGGGCATGTTACAGGTAGTTGGATAGAAATCTCGAATGAAGTCTGCAAAATCAATTCCTAGTAAGGTTCTTCATTTTGCTATTAGAAACGTATAAATATTGGAGAGACATTTGGGCGAGAGGGCGCTTGGACGGTCAAGCGGCCGTGCTCCGATGAATACCTACTCCACAACTGTGTGGATCAAAGCCGCTCGGGGACAGCCGATCCTATAGCCAGTATAGTGAACTATGACAAATATAATTTAGTTGCCAAATAGTCGGTATGGGTTGTTCACCAGCATGTCTTGGAATTGTTCCGTGGACAGCCAGCTCTGAACAGCAGCCAATTCAGTGTTGGGGTCCGCACCTTCTAACGGACCCGCTTCGAAGTCGTTTTGTGACGCGTCGACATGGGGCCAGTCGCTACCCCACAACAAGGCCTGGGGAGCGGCTCGGGCCAGTAAACTTATTATGTCCTTCATGGCGTGGATATTTTGCGGGCTGCGGCGGTGAAGGGCCGAGATCTTGACGTAGACGCGACCAGATTGGAGCAGCTCTACAAAGTCGTGCAATGCTAAACTTCCATAGTCAGATGGAGTCGCACAAGCAATATGATCTGCCACAATAGGAAGGCCGGCTAGATACTTGTCTGTCAAGATGAAATGCTTGAGTTGCGACCACGTTGCAAGCGGCAACTGAGCCGAGATTTTCCACCCCAGATTTCGCACTTGGTTCACTTGTGCCAGTGCTGTCATTTGGCGTTGCGCCCATGCGGGGTCGTGCCCCAAACCCCTATACACTCCGTGGAGTCGGATGCATCGGACACCTAAGAGGTGCATCCGCTCTAGCTCGCTATCGGTCAAAGACGAAAGCGGCATGCTAGCATCGGCGAGGACGGTGCCTCGGACCAGCCCCGAGAAGTGGTTCGGACGTTTGCCGCAGTATTCGAGGTTCGCTAGGAGGTCATCCATGGACGCCTCAATAGACGCCTGGACAATCATGACATTATTCGTGAGCAGGTTCTGAAGCATCAGGTCGACTGGTGCGGGACGCGGAGTATAGGCGCGAGGCGTTTTGAATGGGAATTTGTCTGGCTCGAAACAGTGGACGTGGCAATCCCAGGTGCCGGTAAGTGAGTGTATCGCCATAGTGGGAGAGCAATTTATTGTGCAGACGGATCGCCTCAATTTGTCCTCTATATATATTAGTATAAAAAATTTGTAATATGTAGTACAATGTACGAATAGTGAAGTTACAACGATAGACCAGATTAATCTCTAGTAATCAGCTTAATAATTAGGAAGGCGGTGCTAGATTCATGAATGGTTTTAGAGTCTACTAACCTAGTTTTAGAGGTTAAGGATAGCACTGACACCAGAACAGTGTGGAAATAAATAGCTCTTCGGGTCGATTAGCTTTGAGAAGCTCTGGGTCAAGCACGTAGTAGTTATAGGTTGTAGCTTGAGTTCGCCTTATTTCAGCGAAAAAAAGACCGATATTGGCCGTACTAGGACAGTTGTCAAGGGAACCTGTGGTAGCGTACCACGATGACAGGCTTCTTGGTATTCGAAATATTCACGCAGTGTGGGCAAGGTAGCGTCTAGCTCAGTAAACAGGTAAAAGTAGAAATAGAGGTTTGGAATCAACTAAGAGGCCAGTTTCAGTGCCATCACAACATTTGAAATGGTAACGAGTGTGATGAAGCAAGGGGTTCGAATTACAAGCTAGGTACACTCTCATCATTTCTGATTGGCTCCAGCGATCCAATGACATCAATTAGTACACTCTCGTCTCTCAGACTCTTGAGTATACAACTATACCAGCCGATTAGATCCTTGCAGCCCCAGTAACACAAGCGCAAACCGCACTTGCGCTAGCTTGCACCTGCAGCGCCGTCGCAATTCCACAATTGCCTACTACACACCCAAGCGCACCGTTTTGAATGGCAGCAGAGTTAGTGCATCGGCACGCATAATCAACTCCGCCACAACCAGCGGCAGACGCGGCGGATTGGATGCACGGGACCTACAAGAGATATCAGTTCTGAAAGCTAGAAGGGGAGGGCATTGGGGACTGACACCGCAAGTTGGGATGGCGGAGGCGACAGGGTCGCAGCGGGTTTGGGCGGAGATGGAAGTTGCCAGGAGGAGGAGGACAGAGAGAGTAGACTGGTAGTGCATGTTTGCTAATATTGGTTGCTTTTGACTGCGAGGTGAGAGCTGTAGTTGTAGTTGTGTGTTGATACGCGGTTTGTAGACGACTTTATATTCCATTTTGGAGTAGCAGCTCTCCACTCAATTCTAACTTACACATGCTTGTTGCTATTGAACTTCGGCTTCAAGAATACCTATTGTTACAATCTGCATCACACTTTCCTTGATTTGTGACGAGAGGATGCGGGGAAACATCGGAGACGTCCACTAGATAGGGAAGGCAGGAGTCACAGATATTTGAAGTTGTCGTCTGTGGTTCGTGGAGTTGTTAATCCCTGCTGCTGCCCCTTGCATGGCGACGGGACGAATTTGCGGGGAAGCTTGTCTTACCCTAATGTCAGCATGATCAGCATTCACATGTAGGTATACTCCGAGATGTTATACCTGGATAGAATCCGAGGCATTGAACCTGTACCCGTGCTGACTATTAGACATGTGAATAGAGAGGGGTGACCCGGGAAGAAACGGGACGAGCGCAGTAAGCAGAAAGCCCACAAGGTCACTGCCCAGAGCCGTGTCGCATTGGTGCAGCCCCATGCATACCATGCCAGGGCTTCCACTCTGCTGGCCGTAAGTCGCTACCGTGGTCCTGTCGTCGAGTGTCGGCTTCACGACCACGACTTGATCCTGGCCCCAGCTCATCACGTCGCCTACGAGCACAGATGCATCTTGTTCCACTTCAAGGTCGAGGTCGAAATCTGCAGTCACAAGGTTGATGTTGTCGCTCCCATCGGCCATTGCTGCGTAGGTGAATCAGATGATGCCAGTCCTCTCGCCGGATCGCATCCAATGCAGGACCTCTCTGCTCGGCGTGATTTCCTGGTCGGTGAGTCTGTTGTAGATGGTGAATGTCAACGGGGTCTTGTCCGCAAACTTGACCTTTGGCAGGCGTCCAAAAGTTGATGCAGCAGCCCTTGCTGGCGCTACCGTCGAGATCTCAGATTTGGGTAAACCCGCCAGATAGCAACCCGTCAATTGAGATCTGCACCGGGAGTTGGACTTTCACCACGAAGTCAGCAGCGTTTATGGTGCTGCCGTAGCCGGAATCACCTGGGGATTGAGCCCGTCGGGCGCCGTAGTTGGAATGGTCGTTTAGGTCCTTACGAACCGTGCATTGGCTTTCCATGGCGTTGTCGTGCAAAGCTATTCATAGCGGGGCAGGATTGTGCTTGTTGTATTCACCCCATCCTCTATTCTTCCAGTCCTGGGCTTCGATAGCGGTCATTGGCTGAGGCATGAGTTGCATGGCCTTGAACTAGCTCTTGTTCTTTTTCCAATTCTCAATCGGCTTGTCGCCTTTGTATCCAACACGAAACACCTCGGCTGCTGAATTCTTCAAGCAATACATGCTGTTATCGTCAGCAATTTACGCGGCCTGCAAGAGATGGGTGCGATGTGTACTATCGAGCGCGGTTCACCGAGGCTTGTGGCTCGATGAATTGCTTATTGCCTTGAGACACATTAACCAAATCTCGAGCCTAGTCAACATCCTCTCACCATATTCAATCCACTAGTATCCGAGCTCATTGCGAGTCAAGAGGCCGGTCGCGTTGTCATCGTCGTGAATCTGTTCCCATTAGCTTCGCCCACAAATAACGGCTATGTACTGACGTACCAACATTGAAAGTTCCAGACTGCATCTTCCTTCACAGTGTGAAGCACCATGGACCAATAAGCCAGGTTGTGGAAGGCCTGTTAAAGAGCCCGGAGATGCCCTGAGCTGAACACGTCTGTCAGGAAATGGGCTACGAACGCCTCATGGATGTAAGCCGTGCGAAGCATCTTCATATTTGCTCTATTTGAAGTCTTGTCGCTTGCCTTTCGTGCCATCTGGAGGGCGCTTGTATGCCCAACACAACATGACATGATCGCGTAATCACCTTCGTCTTGTTAGCTCGCAGTTTCTAGGCACTTGACTATACTTGTAAAGTGGTCGATGTTTGTGTACGCAATCCAGGCATACATCGATGAAAGAGCTGTATAGCCCGTATTTGTCATGTTTGTACATTCATCGTCGGTTGGTATAACTATGGCAATGTCCGTGGTCGTGGTTGTAGGCGAGTTTGTCATGACTGAGATTGTCAGAACGACCAACAATAGCAATTGGTTACATATTATGCGACGGCTGTTGTCGCCAGCTTTTGTGGCGGCATCGAGCGTATGGTGCTCGGAGGTAATTAGCACTCTGACTTTCTTCAAGTAATTGTCCGTATCTTGCAGCATGCTCTGGACCGCCTATTCGAAGCGGGTAAGAGGCTCTTTGGTCGGTCTTGGATTCATAGGGGTTCCGAAGCCCTCAGCGTTAAAGATGGGAAAGTACGTCTAGTAGCCTTCTTTGTTCGTGTAGAAGTCGCCCGCAAGCGCAATGATGTTACTACATAAAATTCAAGTCGATGTCTCCTTCTTTAGTTTTCACAGTCACCAAAGGCTCTTCAATTGGTGGCTTATCGTTATGGATAGTGAACAGTTCCACGAAGCGAGTTGTCGCTTCGTGTTCAGCAGCTACACGGTCATTAGCATGTTAGAAATTGAACAAGTAAACGTGCCATACCTTCCAGCCGATGCCCTCGAAAAGGCTTTTATTCAGAACACGACTGTGGACTGTATACTCGCACTCTTCGCCTTGGATGTTCAGTGGGATGAGGTATCCAAACTCTTAGAGCTTCTGCTGGAAAACTTCACTAGAGCTTTTCTGCAGATATGGGTGTTGCTGCCATACTTGCTGCCTTGGATAAAGAGTTGAGCTTCGTGATACCATGTGAGCCATAAATTCAAGCCGAAGCGGCACTTATACAGGACGCTTCTCATGCTGAGGG